TACTGAAATGTGGAGTTAGACCGTTAAACAGTTTTTCACCATTGCAATTTTACGGATTAATTAGCCGGGGCTAAAACAGGGCTCGATGACGCACTGGAGCCCATGAGCTGCTGGACACCCCCCTATTTGATGACGCACAGAGTCTGATCTCCCACTCTCCACACACACTCCCCGAGCACATTCGCATTCACCCGCTCAATTAGTGTTAAACTCATTATCCGCTCACCGCTCCTCTGTAGTGATCGTTTAACACTGGATCGTTTTATAAACTTTCCTCAGAGACAACTTGGATTCACTGATAATCCGCTGTTACTGGTGAACGGGGCCGAAACGACGCTCTCACCCCTCAGTGTTCAACCTCCCGTCTCCAAAAGCTAATCAGCTAATATCACCGTCAACAGCTTTCCCGCTAGTGGGCGTGGTTTCAGCGCAGCCAGCGGACACGCCCCCAGCGTTTGAGAGCAGAGAATCTGCAAATTTTTTCATGATTTTGATAGCTTATTTTATGTACTTGCCGGATTTTTTTTATCATTCAAATTTGGCTGGGTGGCTAATAACACATTTTTCTGTGGTATGACAGACTCAGAACTCAAGACACTCATACAACGAGCGCCAGTACATCATTATTACCGGTATTACAGACTTTGTTGGATTCTGTCATGTACAATCTAGCAAAGTCCGTTACAATAATTGTAATTATTGTAAAATAAAATAACGATTTTGTGGACAGTTACACTGTATTGAGAAATAATATTTTTACAGTTTTCATCAATAAATGTCATTGTTGAACCCTTGCTCTTATTATGTTTTTGATTTCTCAGTTGTCATTATTTTAGCAAATAATTTATTTGATATTTTTTGAGACAGTTTGTTTTAAGAAGTTTCAAAGAGTTAGTAAAAGAGTAAAGTAAAAGTAAAAAAAAATATGTAGGCTATCCATTTTTTATTAAGTATTTATTTTGTATTTATACATAACCTCACTGTATTAATTTATAATGCATCATTATTGCGTGATATTTGTGTCAATAATCATCAAGCACACGTGACTCGGGAGGGGCCCCCAAATCAAATTCTGCTTAGGGCCCCCAAAAGGCTCAGGCCGGCTCTGATGGCTCCCATCTCTTTATGTGACACTCCCACTTTGCCTTTGGCCATCCTATGAATGCATATGCATGACACGAAAAGCACATTTTGCCATTTTCAGTTCCCCCAACGCAAGTATGTACGAACGGGACACACAGAGATGAAAGCACATGTGCTTTCATCTCTGTGTGTCACGTTCATACATACTTCGCAATGGTTTTATGCACACTTTGCGAAACAAATACGCTTTAGCGTTAGTAAAAGCATTAGTAGATCTGGCCCGCAGTGTGCTCATTGTAATACGCAGACACTAACTTTGACTTTGTGTGTGCGGTTTCCCGAAGTGATGAAAGAAAGGATTTTTTATGTCAGCTGTCTAAAATATAGGTTGTCTCAGTCAGGCTTACACATTAATCTCCCAGCACTAATAGTGAAGAACAAACTAGCACTAACTCAAGCATAGAGGTGCTGCTTAATGATTTAAAGTTATAATTTTATCATGACAATCACATACAATTTTGAATTTAAATTTTAACAATCTACTTCATGACTGGCAAACTGCCAAACCAAGCCACAGCATGGGGTTTCAACTCAATAGGATTATTATTGATTATTATTGTGCTCATTAAAACAAGAGCTCTGAGATCAAATCCAGACCCCTGAGGGAAATCAGACCAGCTGATCTTTTATGAGGCTACAGTGACAGACACAGACTGGGGTGCAGGTGTGTTTCATTTCTGACAGAGGCCTTCCATTGTGACGTCTGCAGTCAGTCACTATGGAGACAAGTGCGGCACAGCCATCAAAATAAGAGAAGCACAGCAACAACAACAACAGCAACAAAACTACAAATCTGTTAAATATAAGCATAAGTTTTCCATCACAGATTAGAAATTCATCCAAATATTCTTTTAAGAAAGGTCTTAGTAGGGGTATTAGTAAGGTCACTGAATGCTAAAACAATAATTAACATAGACAATATATATTTAACATTACGCCTTGCATTGATGTGAAGACAATACTTTTTCATAATCATGTTATAACAACTACATGTGCTTTCAGAGTTTCAATTTGAATTATTAAAGCAATAATTAGAATCAAAGTGGTAAATTTGGCATCTCTTTAATCACAATTTTAGAGGGTTGAGTTTTCTTTTTAGAGTACCAAGTTTTGCAGTTCACCTCTTAAACCTAAAGTTAATTCTGTTTCATATAATGATCGCTAACTTGGCATTAATATATTTATAAAACTTTTTGAATGTATATCTTCATGCAACTGTTAAGCATCTAAACAGAGAATCATTCCTGTGGCAGTTGACAGACAGACAGCTTGAATACACAACATTAGCATAAACAATGGATCTCCACAGCAAGCACTAATTACGATAGACATGGCAAGCCATATTTACATTTATTCCATTAACAAGAATGTATTTTTACTAGTTACTAGCATAGATTTATAGACCTGTCACGATAACTACTTTTTGTTGGGTGATATATTGTCCCAGAAATAACTGTAATAAACAATATTAGGCTACGTGTTATTGTAACAATATTACGTGTAATTTTAAGACCATTGTATGCCACTGATTATATAATTCTATCATAATATAACTGCATAATAATGCAAGTAGGGAAACACACTTTCAAATGACAACGAAAGTTTACTTTTTAAGAATATTTAGAAGTGTACAGTGTATTTAGAATACACTGAAGTGTCAAAAAATTAAATATCCTAAATTTAAAACTTGAATATACCGTAACTTTATAAGTAGAAAAAACAAACACAAAATGCACAAATGGCACTTATATTAAGATTTTTCATCCTAAGATGTTTATATTGCAAGTAGGGGTGCGTCCATGGTTAACCGGTTAAACGATTAACCGTTTAAAATTGCATAACAGAGTGAAACCTTTTTGCTCGGTTAAGTGGCGTCAATACATATTTGCACAAAACTTTTGCGTTTTTTTTCTGAATGTCGATAAAAAAATATTGTGAAATGACAGCGTTTCCATTAACGATGTTATGCGACTCTTTTTTTTTCTTCCGCGAAAAGTCATTCCAAAAATAATGGCAACGGACGTTGGTAGAGATTATTATTATTTATGGAAGGAGACATGGTGTGTTATCCAAGCATAATGGCAGGGAAAGACACAAGAGTTCCTGGGTGTTTCTCCCTCATTTCTGCTCCGCGGTCTTGATTGTGGCATTTCTTTGAGGTTTTGTCTAGCCTAAGTTTTGCAATTAATTGCCAATAACAATGGAATAGATACATGTGACTATTGGGGTAATGATTAGTAGCAGCAACAGAATAAAAATGTATGTAATACATGTAGTAATATATGTTGTAATTATCACTACGTGGAATTACCACGTTGGCAATCCAACACCCTTGGAAGTATAAGGTTCTATCTGCATTCTGAAGAGTTTTGAGATATTGAGCTTCAAAGTTTTTGCATTCCATATAGGAAAATGTGTATGGGGAACAAGTTTCTTTCAAACATAAAAATAACAGGGACCCTAAATGTACAAAACACATCACATAATGTAAATAAATTGTCACAGAATAAGAATGTGTATAACTCAATTTTGACAAAAATGTCAGATAGAACCTTATAATTACAAGGGGACGACTAATTGAATAGGCTGTCGCTATTTGAAAAATAAAAATGTATACATTCAGATGACGTAAAATATTGCCCATTATGTTTACTATGGCTGTCAGTTAAACACGTTATTAACGGCATTAACACAAACCCATTTTAACAGCGTCAATTTTTTTATCATGCGACCTTTTGTCCAAGCAACTTTGTAGTTTTTTTCACATGCTTATGCAACAGGACGTGTTGCTGCGCTCTGAAACCCATTGATTTCAATGGCTTGTGCCACGCGAGGACGTTTTGTTGCTTCGTCAACCAAAGCGCAAGCGGATCTAGTTAGACTGGGAACAAAACAACATGCACGCCGCACACACTTGTTTGGGCTTGCAGGTGCCAAATAGTTGGTTAACGTTACGTTTTGAGTGGGTGGCGAGCACGAGAAATTTAGAAAAAATAATGGGACAAAAAGAAATCAAGGGACATTTAGAACAGATTAAAATGTACGTAACTTGTAACTTATTAATCACAAGTTAACTATGACATTAATGCAATTAATCGCAATTAAATATTTTAATCGTTTGACAGCACTAATATTTACCTAAAAATGTATGTCCCCTACATTTTGCAGATGGCACTGCCTCTATCATCTTATCTGCTCTCTGATGGCTGCAAGACGCCCATGTGAACGCTTGCAGTTTCATTGCAGTTCTTTCAGTGTACCTATTAAATTATATTAAAATCTGTGGTTAAATATTCATTCCATTTATGTATATATCTAATATTCATATGTATACCATTTCTAGGAATATATTACTAGCAACTATTTAGCTGGAATATATATTTAATAAAGTTTGAAGTTTAGTACTAGAAAACTGGAACAGAACTGTTCTATTATGTGATGAATAGGCTATATATTCAATTCTGGAATAAAGTACTAATAGCCAATCTATAAACTAGTAACACTAAAATTATAATTATGACTAGTGAAAACCATAAAATTACTAACATTGCTAGTTATTTCAAGCAACACATGTTAATACAGCTTGCCACACGTACAAGCAGGCCTAGATCTAAACAGAGGACCGTCTAGTAACCGTGCACCCGTCGCTGAAACCTGCTTATGACTATCTATCGACACTAACTTAAACAGAGTCAATGCTAATGTTATTAAATTTGCAGCGAGTTCATGCAAGTGAATTAGCGCGTCACTGCATACAACCCAGCCAAATGCTTAGCGCACAGGCGCGCCTTCTTGCCGCTTGAGAGCGACTGGTTAGCGGGACAGCAGGCCGAAAGCGGAGCGCTAACGTTACTCACCGATGTGGTTATCTTCGATATGAACGATGAGCTCGGCCAGGGACTCAAAGTGCAGCCCGCATCCGCCAAACCGGCAAACGTTGGAGAAGAAGGAGGCAGCCGCAACGCCCGTCATAATGGAAGTGTTGGCAATGGTCCGTGAGCTTGCAGACCGGCGGAGGCAGAGGCTGTGCGGGATGAGGTGATCTAATAGCCGGCAGCTCGTTGCAGCAGCAGCGGCAGCGGGGATTGCAGCTGGAGCTGTTTAGACGGCTGGCAGCCAATGGGAGGGGGATGGGGGGCAAAGCAGCATGACGGAGGAGGAGGAGGAGGAACCGGCCAAACAAACATGCTGCTGTTCAGTTCACCTGAGCGGAGAAAAACGAGGAATGCTTTACTGACAAGTGCCACATAAGCAACTATATTATTGATTATTTCAGTGCGTGCATCTTTTGCTGCCCTGCCTTTAAATGTGTAAGGTTTGATAGTGCCACTGTAAGAAGCCAGATGAACTTAAAATTAACTAAATTAAACTAAACTAACCAAACTAAAACTAAATTTAAAATGATAATTACACAGGTATTACAAAGGCTGTGACTCTTCCAAGTGTTCATAGAACATACTTAGTATACTATCTTTTCATATGGAATTGTAATGCAGTGTTCATTAATTTCACGCCTTTTGGTAGCCTATCTTTAAAAAAATGATGTCCATTTCACAGACAAGGCTTAAATCCTATTCTCAGACTGAAATAAGCTACATGTTTGAGCTGTCTTAACTTAAAGCAGCTTGCACTGACATACCTATCTACCTGCTCTATCTGTCCTAATTTAATTATGTGTCCTTATGGTCATTTTTGTTATTTTCTGTATCATTATCTGTATCATGTTTACTTGGCACACGTGTGTATTTTTATTGGAATTTCTATTACTAAATCTATAGTTACAAAGTTACAAAATAGTTCCAAAGTGCACAAAAATGTCCCCATTGAAACCCATTTAAACTGCTTTCATTCTAAGGCGTCAAAATTAAAAAACGTACAATCTTTTTTCCAGATTTTTTGGCATTTCCTCTGGTTTTGCCTATAAAGTAAATACTCACTTTATTCTTGTTTTCTGTTATAGAGCCAATTGGATAAAGTATGCAGCTAACATGTGTGCCTGTGTTAGTATGGATATCAGAGTGTGGTTTGTATGTGTGCAATAAAAAAAAATTGTGTGTGTGCATGTAATATTTGAGAGAGAAAAACTGTACTGTTCTGTATGTGCTAAACCACAAATCCAGCCACTGTGTGTACCAGCAGAGCTTGGCTGTCGTCCAAACAAAATCTTACTGAAAGCTCGATATCATAGCATATCTGCCCCCTTTAGAGTGTTCCTTGGTGTTAGGCAGGGAGGATTCTTGTCCTCTGTCTCATTTAATTTATATATGGATGAACTGTCAGGAGACTTAATGGTTGCAACACTGGCTGTATGATGGGTGGCATGCTGGTGAATCACCTTATGTATGCAGATGACCTTGTTATTAGTCCGAGTGGTGCTGGGCAGCAGGAGCTTCTTAATATATGCTCTGACTAGGGGTGGAATTTGATATAAAATATAATTCCAGAAAAAGTGCAAAAGTTTTAAAATGCAAATTGGTTTCATTTTCCTGTTCATGCTAGCCAATAATTGTCTTGAGGTCTGCCAAAAGATTAAATTCCTTGGTCATTGTATTACAGATGATATGAATGATGATGATGACATAAGTTATATGCACAGGCAAACACCATAGTAAGTTTAGTTACTGCTCTACTCAAGTTAAAGTGTCTTTGTTCAAAGCTATATTATCTGTGGTCTTCCTAAAAATCCAGCATGCAGAAGTTAAAAGTTGCTTACAATGATGCAATGAGAATTTTACTCAAGGTTCAAGGAGGGAATGCTATGTTTGGATCTGTAGGAGACTAGGACCCAGTAATGACACTGAAAGCCCTTTTAAGAAATGTGATGTTTAAGTTTATGCAATGTCTAGATGAGTCTACCAATAGTATCATGGTGGCACTCTCAAATCTCTTTGTGTGCTGTACAGGTACACATGCAGACTGAGAGTGCTTTGGCTGAAATGTCTATTCTTGTATTTGCTTCTTTTTTTGTTTGCTTGTTTGTTTTTGTTTGTTTTCATCTGTCCTTCTTTCGTGTTTTTTGGACACGAGTCTGGCAAATAAACTGAATTGAAGATGGCTTTGATTTTCTATTAGTTTTTGAGTTCAAAATGTTTTATACTTACCTCTACTTAAAAAGTAACATTTTGAATTGATCCACAAGGGCTATTCCAATGGCTTAAGCCCTCTCTGTGAAAACAGGCCTTAGTGTAATATCATCATTTTATAATTTCATTCATCGTTTGATTTATTATTCATAATTCCATATAAATTAATTATATAATTTTGTTTACAAAATCATATAAACTTATGTCTTTGTGCAGCATTAAACTGTGAAAATTCACTTTTCAAATGCAGCTCTCTGTGCTGCTATTTACTGTATTTTGCATTCATGTTGTCTCAAGCACTCTACTGTCTCTCTCAAAAGGAGTAGTTACTTTTGAAAAAACTTTTGCTGATAATTTACTCACCCCCATGTCATCCAAGATGTCAATGTCTTTCTTTCTTCAGTCGAAAAAAATTTAAGGTTTTTGATGAAAACATCCAGCATTTTCTCCATATACTGCACTTCAGTTCGAGCAGGAGAGTCATCAACGTGCAAGAGCAAGGCGAGCGTTTGAGCTTATAAAACTTAAACTTTTTTTTTTTTTTTTATTGAGCGATCGTTTCGCTTGATAAGACCCTTGTTCATTGTCTGGAATCGTTTAAAGCCCTTTGAACAGTTTGCAGTGTCTTTTGGACCTTGAATCGATTGGTTCCCACTGAAGTGCATTAAATGGAGAAAAATGCTGGAATGTTTTCATCAAAAACCTTAATTTCTTTTCGACTGAAGAAAGAAAGACATGGACATCTTGGCTATAAAGACAGGAAGCAATAGCGAGTCAACACAGTTTATTTGTGAACAAATATCAGTACAAGCGGATGTGGAGACTGGTAACGCAGGGGCCAAGATGATCAGGTACGGTGCAGACGACAGTGCAGCGGTGACGATGGTGAAGACAAGAATCCAACACGACAACGATAATCCAACACGAAGACGAAGACCAGAACGCCAGCAGGGAGAGGAATCCAGAGCCACAAGGCGAACATCAAACAACGATCTGACAAGGAATATGAAACAGTAGTGAGTATATATAGGGAGGTGAAATGGATTGCAGCTGGTGATGATAATGATGATCAGCTGGAGTGGATTAGGTATGACATACATTCATGCCCACTTCACACATGCATTCACACAACAACACAAACACGAGACTAAAAGGAAGCAGAGAACATATCTACCGTGACAATCGTGAAGTAGACCTCTAATTGGCATTTCTTTACTGAAGAAAAATGTTGACTTCCTCAAACCCCGAAAAGATGGAGAACGTGTCAGGTGTGACACATACACCCATGTAAGGTGCTGTGTTCACAAAGAGCATGAGGAATGTCCGTTTGTGAGCGTGTGCTGACCGTCACTTGTTAATCATCTGTTAAATCTCCCTGTTATAAATGTTCTCTGCGGTTGGGCTATGTAAATACATGAGAGACTAAATGACCAAATATTTTCCATGGCACTGTTTTCAAATAAACAGACTTGCATAAACATGTACACATGAAATAGCCTACAATATTTTCTCTTCAGCTTTGTAATTTTAAATCCTGAAAAGCTAAAAAAAAATGTACAGACATTTGTTTGGGATGTGCCTTATAATGTCATATTGCAGTCAGATCAAATTCATCCATCTGCCTCACACAAGATACACATAACATAAGCAGCCGATACCAGATGCCAAACTGTGAGGAGGACATTCCAGGTCAAAGAGTTCAGGATTTATATAGTTCCAAATTTGATTGATTGAGTCAGTGCAATATCATACTCATATGCAGTAAATCATTAAAGGGCACCTATTATGTCCCTTTTTACAAGATGTAATATTGGTCTCTGGTGTCCCTAGAATGTATTTGTAAAGTTTCAGCTCAAAATACCCCACAGTTAATTTATTATAATAACCATTTGAAAATGTCATTTTGGGGCCTGCTTAAAAATGACCTGTTTCGGAGGTATACGGCTTTAAATGCAAATGAGCTGCATATCCCCGCCCTGCCTTTGGATGAGGGCATGGCAGTCGGTAAGCAGAAGGGCTAAGAGAGTGAGAGACGCGCTGTTTTGAATGTCATTCAGCGTACGTTTGAATCGGAATAGTACGAAGAGACTCCGGCAGAATAAACATTAATGAGAATGGACCAGTATGTCTCGGTATGGTTATTTGATACATTTATGTACTTTAGCGTTGTAATCGCGTTCCCTTTGAAATGATGGGCATGTGCAACACACACACACAGACACACATAAACACTAATGCTGGCGCAATTTTTTTGAAATTACATAGCTACACATACTGTGATAAAGTTTGCTACGTACAAGCGAAATTACATTTATGCGAGGGACGGGGACCTGTGGCGTCATGTTTACTTGTCATACGGGTGCTTCTGTGGCAAATGTGAGGAGATGGCTAACATACAGAACAACAACATATATGCAGTTTTTAATACAATATCTTTAAATATATATAAACGTGTGGTTACACACTATACAAACAAGGTTTAAATTATATAGCCTACAAAGACATCCTACGACGACAACAACTTTAGACGCATTTGTTGTTGAATTGGCTGACATTGACTGAAAAGACTATTTGCTCAAAAATCATAAAACACACTTACTGTTACTGGATGTGACGGTGGAATCGCAAACAGTAGACGACGATCCACAGTTGAGGATTAACTTTTAAGCTACAACAGGATTAACCCACGAGTCGACGACAGAATACTTATGTTTCCAAGAGACCGGCTGTCGTCGTTGAAACAATGGAGGATGATGTGTACAGATCACCGAGGGCGGGGTCTAGGCCACAGCCACACTGTCAATCAAACCCCTGTCTCCCTTTCTACGTCACAAAGAGCTGAATCTCAGAACCAGAGCCATGTATTCAGAGAGTTCTGACAGTCCCATAGACCGCCATTGTAACTCAGGAATGCGGAAGTAACGCATGTCATGGACCCGCCCATTAGTTCCAACCACTGATAGTTCCAGCATTGAACCCCATTCATTTTCAGTGCTTCCGATGTCCTCTCGCTGGTAAATTAATGAAATTACTGTATTTTTTACTTTTACACACATTAGCCGACCTCTCGTGAATCTAGTCTGTAGTTATATGTTATGT